AAAAGCGCGTTGCGGTTGACGAGTCTGCCTCTGATGATAGGTTGTCACATAGTTAGATGGGTGGGTCTGTCGCGGTCAGGTTCGGGAGGTCCGCCACTGGAGCCGGGGAGGTTCTGTCGCCGCTGAGGTGGCTGGCCTCTGGTGTGTCCTGGCCTCGCTGGCCTCGAGGTGTGTCCTGACCTGACTCGTCCATGGCCGGCACGGTGGCCTGTGTGTATCTCTGGCCGCTGACCGGGCGGGCATGTCTCTAATCCAGGGGCGGGGCGGGAGAGCCGGTCTGCTGCAGAGCAGGGACCGGTGGCCGGTGACAGGGCCTCGCCCGGCCCGGCAGTCTCCCCCTCTCCTTCCGTGGGGCCCTCACAGCGGAGACACAGCTGGGGGGATCCATGTGATCGCAAGGCACCTCGCAGTTGCGATCAAACGTAAGTTGAATCGGAACAGATATTGGAGGGATCCATCACATCGTAGGCTAAGTAGATACGCAAGTTGTATCGCAAATGGTGAAGATACGAACTAACTTTACGAATCTTCTCGGTCGATCGGAAGGCCGATCGTAGCGAAGCTTTACCTCTTTCTCAAGAGAAAAATATAAGAAATTTTCAAAATTTTCACAAAACCGAAATATATGTTAAACAACTATGGTTGATGAACACATGTGCAAAATTTGAAGTCGATTTCTTCAAAAATGGCTGCGCTAGAGTGTTTTAAATTTACACGTTGAAAACGGTCACTTTCACGTCATTTTTGTAATTTTTTTTTTCAATTTTGAAGTTTAAAAAGTGTTTTGGGCAATTTTTCGCGTTAATTGCGAAAATCTGACCAAAACATGTATCGCACCATCAATGATCCGATACGCCATCAGAGGCCGCGCCGCGGACAGGTGGGCGCGGCGATACCTAGGCCGCGTGGGGGTTACACTGGTGTTCGGGAAGGGCTATGTCAACGCGAGGCAGGCCGCGGGGGAGCCGGTCGCGGCGCCGGTCCGTATTTGTCGGCGCCTAGCAGTGCAGCGCACTATGGTTGGAAACGGCCTCACGGATGGCCGGGGGTCAACGCGAAAAAATGTTTTGCCCATAACTTGTTAATGCGTAGACCGACTGCGATGAAACTTTGCATAGGTATACCAGTGTCTTTCGTGCATCATACAGTAACTCAGAAATGACGAGGTCACGTCACGTCACGCGTGTGTGACGTCATCATTGCAAGTATGTTATAAGTCGCCTATGCCTTTCGTTATGTTATCGATATCGCGAGGCATTTTGAACATGTTTTGAATACTGCTATTACTGAATGGATATTGTTGTTATGCTTTAGGGCGAGAAATATCAACGTAGTGACGCACAGTGTCTTACTATTGGTCATAAAGGGTCAAAAATTTGGAGAAAGAGTATTTATGATTTTTTTTAGATTGGGCAAAAAAGTAAGAAATAAAATGACAATCAAATGACAAAACATGCGTCAGATTAACCCGGCAGTTGCTGGGGTATTTCCCCATCCGCCGTTTGCCGGGGGGGGGGGGGGCGTTCAACGCCCCCAGCCGATAACTCGCGAACAAATAGGCGCAGCGAAACGCACGAGGCGCGGCAAACGAAAGAAGAACGCGACGAGACGATTCACATGAATACTTTAAAGCTGAATTTCGAGGTCACAGGTCGGGTCAAGGTCAGGTCAAACACTTGAAATCGGGCTTTCAGTAGCATGGACTTTAGAACCTCGCAATTGGTGCCTCGCGTTTCGCGTTTCGATTATATCGTCATCAGTTGGTCCTAAACAATCTGTCACAACTGTCAGAACTGTCACAACCCTTCATATAAGTGCTAAAAGAGTGTCAGATCAATGTAGGGGTCAGTCAAACATAGGCCACTGGCCAGGGTCAAAGTCAGGTCAATCAGGTAAGCACATAACCCCGAAAATTAAAACTGGTACCTATTCGCAGCCCATGCATGACACATGTTTTATGGGTACTTTTGGGCGTAGAACACGATGGTGACATTCATTTTATCATACGAGTACGTGGCTGGTTGAAAAAAGATCAATTTCAGAAATGCATGCGTCATGGTCGTGAAGTAGTCACGAGAAATTGCCAACATTCAGTTCAAGATTTTGGAAAATGTAGAACGATGATCAAAAACCATAGATAGCCATTTGATTTGCCATGGTATTGGCAGTGTAATGGCGTTTACAGCATGTCTGTATGTCTGCTCTGTCGGTGGATATCCATATCCATACTCCAGGATATCCATACACGTTTGCACGATATCCATACTCCAGGTGCAGGGGCGAGCAGTTACTTCTTACGAGGGGTGCGGAGTCGAAGTCAGAGTCGGAGTCAGAGTCGGAGTCGGAGTCAGAGTCGGACTCGGAGTCGGAGTCGGAGTCAGAGTCGGAGTCGGAGTCAGAGTCGCCCAGAGTCGTGGCAACGAGCCAGGAGTCGGAGTCGGAGTCGGGGTCGGTCAGGAGCCCGCAGTGGAAGTCGGAGTCGGTCCGAATCGGAACAGCTCCATCACGACTCCGAAACACTGGCAGGGGTCCGGAGTCGGAGACAGAGTCGGCCGGAGTCATGGCAACGAGTCAGGAGTCGGAGTCGTAGTCGGAGTCGGATTTGGCGCCACCACGACTCCGCAACCCTGCTTCTTACCATCATTTATAAGGATAAGCGATTGCAAGACTGACGAGCCGACCTGGTGCTAACGAAGCGACGGGTAGGTACGCCTCGGGAGATGAAGCTTCACGGACGATTTTGCGCACAAGTGCGCAGTCTGCTTTTACGTTCCCCTTACGCAGAATTGAACAGAGATTTATTCTGCCAAAAAGCTCAATGGAGGTCGATGGAGAACTTTTTGTATGTCCAATGAAACATAAACGTAATTTTGCAAATATTGCTGTGGTGACACTGCAAACAGAATGCAATGCCGTTCCTGATTTTGAACACGCATGGGAAAAAGAGTCATTCCACTTGATAGCCAACATAACAAGGATTATTTTGATATATAATAATTCAGTTTTGCAACGTCATGGAGGTACTCCACATGCTATCACCAGCGCGGTTGTTTAAACCTTTGACGGCGCACCCAAAAAGTCACTATCAGAAACTCCCGATTCCACGTACAATAATGGACACTAAATGCGCAACTAAATAATTTTTTATGCCCAATTCAAAACATTTCATCAATTTCCAACAGAATGACAACCCAAATATACATGTATTCCGAAATTGCCCACGGCCATCCGTGAGGCCGTTTCCAACCATAGTGCAGCGGTGCGTTTATGGCGGAGGGAGGGGAAGCGGTGTAGTGTCGGCAAGGCCGCACACAGGAGAGGGCACACGGGCCTCCCCCCATTCGAGTTGGGGCCCCTAATCTTTAGACCGCCGAAGACCATGTAAAATGAACTGAAATAATGATTAAAAAGGCCGGGAGGGCCCATCTCGTTCCCCAGCAGGCCCATACGAGTCCATAAATGCCCAGTAGCGCAGCCAGGGGTATTGTGGTGAAATTTCAATGGCCCTCAAAAGACCTCAAAGGGCCCACAGATGGGGTCACCGGGTCCTCAGATGGTCTCGAAGGGCCCTCGGTTAGCGTCAAATGGCCCTCATCTGGTGTCAAAGGGCCCTCAGATGGCCAAATGAAGGGCCACAAGATGGCCTCAAAGGGCCCTCAGATGGGTTCAAAGGACTCTCAGCCAACGTTAAACCTACCTCAGAAGACCTTAAAGGGCGTCAAAGGGCCCTAAACCTGCGTCAGATGGCCCTGAGCTCGCGTCAAACGACCCTCCGAAGGCCTTAAAGAGTCCTTAGCTTGTGTCAGAGGGCCCCCAGCTGGTGTCAGTGAGCCCTCCTCAGCTGGCGCCAAAAGTCCATCTGAAGGCCTCAAACGGTCGTCAGCTGGAGTACAACGGTCCTCAGATGCCGTCACGCGGCCCTCAAAAGCCTCAAGGAGCCCTTATAAGGTCTCAAAGGGCCCTCATTTGGCCTCAAAAGGCCCTCACCTAGCGTTAACCGGACTTCAGAAGGCCTTAAAGGGCCCTTATCTGGTGTCAGAGGGCCCCCAGCTAGTGTCAGAGGGCCCCCCGGCCCTCAGTTGGCGCAAAATGGCCATCAGAAGGCCTCAAACGGTCCGTAGCTGGAGTCCAACCGCAACGGTCCTCAGGTGCCGTCAAGCGGCCCTCAAAAAGCTTCAAAGGCCGCTTAGAAGGCAGCAAAGGGCCCTCATATGCCCCCCCAAGGGTCCTCTGCTGGCGTCAAACGGACCTCAGAAGGTCTCAAAGGGCGTCAAAGGGCCCTGAGCTCGTGTCAAATATAAAAGCGCCCTTAGTTGGTGTCAGGAGGCCCCCAGTTGGTGTCAGCGTGCCCTCAGCTGGTGTCAGAGAGCCCTCAGTTGGCATCTACTGGCCATCAGAAGGCCCCAAACGGTCCTCAGATGGCGTCCAACGGTCCTCAGCTGACGTTAAGAGGCCCTCAAAAAGGCCTCAAAGACCCCTCGGCTGCTGAAGAGGCCCTTAGCCTCAAAGGAAACTCAAGAGACGTTAAACGGCCCTAAAAAGGCTTGAAAGGGCCCTCTGCTGGTTGCAAAGGGCTCGCATATGACATCAATAACAGCTTTGTCAAAAACGGACCTGAGAGACCTTGCCGGTCCCTGGTTATAAGGGACTCCTGTCTCTTGCAGTAACCTGAGTGGCCCACGTTTACTGAGGGGCCCCTGGTTATTGAAGGAGTCCCTGGTTATTGGAAGGACACCTGGTTATCAGAGGGTTCCCTGGTCACCTGGTGGGTCCCTGATCAATTGAAACCTCCTGTGATTTAAGTGGTCCCTGTGTGTACCCAGTTGTTGCCTCAAGTGTTTAGTTACGTCTAGGGGATTTGTAGATACCGACTCTGCTGCACACCGTGTTGTACGCATGCCCCGCTGGTCTCCGCCCGACCCCTCCGAAGCCCTGTCTCCCTTCGTCACATCATATCCCTCCATTCCCTTCATCACACCATCACACAAAGACACGTACAGTGGGATAAAATATATTCAAACAGGCCGAAAGGGTAAACGTCAATGATTGAACAATGCCTGGAGTCCGTAGAAGCCAAAAAGTAAACATTGCCAAAAAGGGCGGATTCAGGCTTGAGAATACACGGTATATGTTACCGTGGTAGTAAATAAAGGTGGCCGAAATAGAGTGCTAAAAACACATAACCGAACAATATGCCGAAGCACAAGGTTACCGAAAACAGAATGACCGAAACAGTGTCAAGACAGTGCCGAACAAGTATTCGGAACGGAATGGGCCGAAACAGTGCCGAACAAGTTGCCAAAACAGTGCCAAAAGTAATCGAAACAGAATGCCGAAACAGTGCCAAACCAAAATGGCAGAATCACCAAAGTGTAGAGCGCTTATTGGTCGCTCGATTATGTACCGAGCTTTTCGGTGGTTTGGGGCGGGTAAAGCTGAGCCTTGGCATCGGGGGAGTGTTTGTTGGTGGCTCCATCCGTAGGCCGTAGTCTTGCGCTCTGTAAAAGGAAGAAGTTAAACGGACACGATAACGCCGTGTAGTTCATCGGCCCGGTTCACCTCGTACGTACTATGGACCTGTGGAAAGTGCTAGGGGAAACTGTAAAACCTGTAAAGAATACTAGGGTAGCTCGGTGAATAGCCTGGGCCTGTTGTCGCCGGAATCAGTATCTGTAAATAGAGAACGTTAGTGGGGATGAGGTATTACCTCACCTTTGGTCGGCACGGCCGACCAAAGGTAATGCAATTCACGACTTACATTGTGGGGTTGCTGGTGGAGCGTACCGCCGAGTCGGAGCACTGCACAGTGTTTCGGACTGCAGAGAGAGTGTCCCCGGTTTGAAGGAGAGCTCTTTTATATCCCACCAACAGTCGTTAGTAGCTCTTGCACGCCCGTTTTTATAATGACATTCTATACATTATCGATTGTTCTCCAGTCCCCCGCTGTTTACGAGCCCACGCGTATCTCGGTCTAACCTTCACCCGTCTATCCCTACGCTATTGTTCCACCACCACACTACGTTATTTTGTGCTATTGTCTGCTTCTAATCTCCTTTACGCATATCCACCACCACACAAACAGGTTTCACATTGTCATTCGTCTTCCTTTGATCCTCTGCCAGGGACGGGTTCCTCGCTCCGGCGTGGCGCACGGCTGAAGGTAACGAGTGGTCGGTGCATCTAATCTGCAAGGCTGATCAGTACACACAATTCCACACAGTTCCGCCGCTCAGCTAGGAGACCGAAGCGATATTTTCTCACATCCCTCCCTATTTTATAAAGTTTATCTGACTTCCTCCTTTGGGGTGTAATAGTCGTCGATGCGTCTGCTCTGCTGTCTAGGGTCTCCCTGGGTTGTCTAGTCATGTCTTGTTTGTGGATAGGAAGTAAGGACAGTTACAGAGGATGCCTGGTAGGAAGTAAGGACAGCTACAAAGGATGCCTGGAGATATCCGGAAGAGAGCACTATTTGCCAAGACCCTGACCGGTGCTGTGCATCTTGCCCTTAGAATCGTTTTAGTGTCAATTTTAACTGCGCCTTCAACTCGATCGAAATAGGTATACCAACATAATGAAGCTGGGTAGTTCTGTGGCCAATTACCTGCAGTCAGTTAATTACCGATAATGAATATATCCTCCGTTGCAAAAATAAAACATGCTAATCTGAATCATCTGGGAACCATATTCCTCTTGTGTTGACCGATTTTTAGGATTTGTGGGACCGTCTAGGGAGGACAAGTTTTGGATACCCGTTGGAGCCAGATGTTAAGCGATTTACAGTTGTACCGACCGACCATCTGCTTGGATTGCCACTTACTTCGGGGTGGTTGAGTCGAGGGGTGCTGTGATCGTTTGCCTTGGTTGTAACAGAGGCGCTGTTTCTCGTCGTCGGGTGGTACTCGGAATCCAACCGAGAGCAAAAGGGCTACTAAGAGACTGCTGGGGATGAAGTCAACCTGTCAGCCAAGAGGTCGGGGGTTCGGTGTGGACCCTTTTGGTATCCTAGATACCGTTGTTGAGCCGACTGCCACCGGTGCCAATGCGAGTACCTGAGGGCATCGAGAGGGGCCGGTTGATGGTGAACATCATGGCTATGTCGTAGCTCAAGATTCGAGACGGTTCTGGACCGAAGCGATCTGGTCTGCACACTCTACGTTCATCAATTGGTGATGACGTTTCGGATCCTCATGGATCTCGTCTCAAGACTAGTCAAGTCGATACTCCAAGCCCTCTGCAGCTTTAGAGCGCCAACGAGCTCCCAATTGATCGTTGCACTCACCTCGACTCAGAATATAGCCGACCATCTGCTAGACCTTGGCAAATGAGCACTTCCCGTCGTCGTCTCAAGGGGGTCTTACACGGTAACGTCCATGGCTCGGCGTCGCCGACGTCGAGACCTCACAAGGCGGTGACTTTCTGGAGCATCGGTCGGCGGACCCATCAGGTCCTTTACTCGGCGATGTAGCTTCCATATCGCTATGGACAGCAGCAGAACGGTCACTAGATTCAATGTAAGTAGACCAGTGTATCCGGTGATCTGGCTCTGCGGGCTCGATATCCATCTGTAGGGATGATAGGGAGACAATTGATTCTGGAGCGCCTCATACTGCTGAATGGTTTTGTTAAAGGTTCGGAGTCTCATCGCATCTTTACTGATGTCTGTGGTTTCAGTGAGATGGCTCAAGAAGGACGAGATATTTACGGGAGGAGTCAACATTGAGGTTATATTACTCCAGAGACTCATGGAAAAATTGAGTGAAAATAGATCCACTATCGGTGCATCCGGCAGACTGATCTTGAATTGCCCCTTACCGTTGACGTAACTGGGAACCCTAATTGACCCAAGGGATGCCTCGCATCCCGGCTGTAAGCGGAACATACCGGTACCGGTCAGCTCGTATTGCCCGGCGGGGTGGTGAGGAGCACTCGTCCTGCTCTGGTTAGAGCAGCGGACCAGTAGCGTTCCTTTTGCTGCTCCATATAACCACACTCCCATACCAACGTGGTGAAACACCGGCCCATCGTGGTATTGCACCTGTGCCGGGCAGCTGGTTCCGGTCGGCTGGTCTGAAAACAGATCATACAAACAACGGCTTTCTTGAGATCGAGGCGACTGTACTGCTTCCTTGAGCGCACAAACCCTAGGGCTTTTTCCTTTACACTGTGCCTCGCGACGGTTTGTCATGGTGAAGAAGTTGCCTGGACTGCCGGGCTGAGTCGTGAAAAAATCGGATCCTGATTTCTGAATGGCCAAATAAGGGGAGTCAAATCGGTAAGAAAAGAAGAGCTTCTCCGGGAACTTCGGGTGAACCACAGGCATTGCGATGGCTTCGTAGAGCTGATACCTACCAGACTCCTTGATGATTGGGATCGCCATGCAAAAATTGACCCCGCCCTCCGTTTGGTGGGTTTCTGTGGTTATGTAACGAAGGTAGGAATAATGGTCGTCTGTTTCATACAAAAGTTTCCATCCGACTGGAAGATGTTGTCCTAAGTTTAACAGGATATCTCTGAAGACCTTATCCTCCAGTAGTTCCCAGGCTAGAGCTCCTTCACCTGCTTGGGCAACAATGCGCTGTATGGTATAAAGACCCTTTTGTGACTGGGCCAAACCCTCGCGAATTAAGTCGGTCGCTATCACAAGTTCTAATCCTGCGGTAGCATGTGCCACTCCTATATTGAGCCGACTGTCCACAGTCTGAATTTGGCTTAGAGCGGCTGTCACCCCGTTAATTGAAGCTTTGATTCGAATGACTTCTTCTCCGTTGTGGAGAGTTTGTGAAGCTACAGTTTTAACATAACTGAACTGTTGGTCAACACGGTGAGATATGTTTTCAGTTTGGTTGGCCAGTGAAGCGATTTGTGCCGACTGACTTTCAATGTCTCTCTCGGTACTAAATCCAAACAAATATTTTCCAACGTCACTTACGATGTTAACTAAGCCGCGACGTTGCCGGGCGTCATTCTCCCGGATAGTTCGTTTAACAGAATTGAGAGTTTGTTGGTAGGCGCTAAGGTCCTCTTTGAAGGCGGTGGAGAATTTCTTCCACGTGGCCGTCAATGCGTCTATCACCGGAACTTTGTCGGACTCGACCTGGCCCCTCACGGCTTGTAGATGCTGCTCTACCCGAGATATCTGTTCCAGGAGGGAGGTATGGGCTTGCTCATACGTCACCAAGCTGATGGTGGTGCAGATTGTCCAGTCAGAACCCGTGATTATTACTTCACCCAGGGGCTGGAAGTACACCCCGTGATGAAGTTGCATCTTCGCCTGGTTTTGGTCCCCTCCGACGTCTCGGGACAACAGCAGTAGCCAGACCAAATACACCAGCCGCCTAAAACAAAACGGGTAGGATCAATCGCTAGTGGATGAGTAGGGTTACTGGTCAGCATGGGTTAAGGGGAAAAACGTTGAGGTGCTTGACGCCTTCTGCTCGACCTTCGAGGAACGACAGGCGGTGAGGGAATCGTCATATAGTAGCCGTCATCATCAGGGGTTTCCGAATCAGCTGTCTCTAATGGCTCGGAGCTATCTGAGCTCAGTCTATTGGTTCCTAAGGTCTCCAATACATTAGTCACTCCGCTGTCTGATCCTGTCCTGTCTGACCTTGTCAGAGGTCTGGCCCTTTCTGGTCTGGGCAGAGCTAGTCCAACCAAGTCTGTGTCCTGTTCGTCGTCCGGTCCTGAATCACTAACATCGCTACTATCGACTGAGGGAGCCTGATCCCTCCTGAAGGTATGGACTTTCCTCAAGGCGTCCCGATACACAGATGAGACATTCTGGGGTTTGAGACGGTCACAATGCACTTTCTCTGGGGGATGCTTCGAGCCTGGTTTCCTTACCTCGTACGTGAGGCCATTGTCGTGAAGTCCCACTACCACGTATCCAGGCTCCCATTTCTTTGTCAGTTTTGAAGCATCTCCTGGTTTGACGGCAGGACGATATAGGTAGACCAGATCTCCGAGCTCGTACTTCTTGTCTCGTGCTCGTCGGTTGTAGTAGTCTCGTTGGTATCGTCTCGCGGTCTTCTGGTTCTCGATCGTTTTGCTGATAGCGTCGTACTGCCGTTCCTTTAACTGGGTCACCAGGTCAGAAAGTTCTGCGGAATAGTCGGATGGTTTTGATGCCAGCGCTTGTTCTATCGGCAACCTAAACTGTCTGCCGTACATCAGGAACGCTGGGCTCCAGCGGTTGCTGGTTTGGAACGTGGAGTTCACTGCGTACTGGGATGCACCCAGGAATACGTGCCATTCCCGCTGCGTTCGATCTAGCGCCGTAGCTAGCATGGTTTTCACTACTCCACACATCCGTTCTACGTTGGAGTTAGCTTGGCTGTGATAGGCAGAAATGAAAACATGTCGGACATCAAGTAACCGGTTGATTTCAGCAAGGAGCGACGCACGGTATTGGGGACCGTTGTCTGACACCAGGTAGTAGGGGATGCCGTATCGGAAAAAAGTTGCAACCAAGGCTTGGGCAACCGTTTCGGCTGTGGTGTCCTGTAGAGGAACGAGCTCCACGAACTTGGTGAAGGCGCACACGATCAAAAGGATCCAACGGTATCCTTGAGGGGTTTCGGGGAGAGGACCCATGATGTCGGTGTGAACCGTTTCCCATGGTCCATATGTGACTGGGGTCTTACCCAGAGGGGCATGGAGTGCCCGCCGGTTGCGTTTCGTGCTGTGGCATTTGACACAACTGTCACAGTAGGCTTTCACATCTGACGTCATCGAAGGCCAATAGAATTGTCTGCTCAGGTGTTCCTGTACAGCCTTTGCATGGTAATGGCCTGCCAAAGGATGGCTATGATGCTCTGCAATTAGCTGAGGGGTCATCTCACGGGGTACCACCACTCGTACTGGGTCAGCCTCCGTGGGTTGATAACATAGGATTCCCTCGCTATTCAAGTGATACGACGGTAGGTCACGCCAGAGGCGACGGTTGCCTCGGACCCGTTTCCCTTCCAACGTTTCAATCAATGGTATCCACAATGGGTCTGACCTTTGCAGTCTGGCGATCTCCGACAGATGGTTGTCCAGAGTTGACTCCGCCTCGGGAGAGGCTGCGCGCTGTGGAGTGATTCTGGAAGTTGTCGGAGGCGCTGCTACGCGTGAGGTCTCCGAGAGGACGGATCCAGTCCTCCTGCGGGCTCCAGTGGGTCGACCAGAGGTTTTCGTTGTGGTTCGAGGTCCTGTTGCGGCAGCGGTCTGTTCGACACCGTCTGCCGTGACCTGGTCCCCGTCTTTCGAGGTCTGGCCCTCTGTTTCTGAAGTTGTCGAGAACAGGGCGGCTATACCAATGCCGATGTCGGGGTCATCGAAGGTTAGCTCGCGTTGGAGATCTTTCCAGTCGTCCTGTACCGCTCCGCGAGAAAGAGAGTCAGCTACGACATTCTTTGGACCAGGAACATATCGTACTGTCATGTTCAGACCTTGTAAGGCTAATTTCCATCGCTCCAGGCGAGTGTTCTGGACTCTTCCCTTTTGGGCATGACTAAGCACATATTTTAGAGGGGCATGGTCACTCTCCAGAACAAAAGATCGTCCATGTATGTAATAATGGAATGCCTGAATACAAGAAACGATGGCCAATGCTTCTTTCTCAATAGTACTGTAATTTTTCTCTGCCTTGTTCAACGTACGTGAATAGAAGGCAATGGGACGCCTCTCACCTGTTTCTGTTTCCTGGCTGATCCATCCTCCCACACCTTTGTCACTTGCATCTGAAGCGACGATGAAGGGACGGTTAGGGGAGAAATCGGGATATGCCAGTACATCGGAGTTGACCAGGGCATCTTTGAGAGCTTCAAATGCCGCGTTACACTCAGGGGTCCAGTTGAAGTGGATCCCTTTTCTCGTGAGAGCGTTAAGGGGTGTGGCAATTGTCGCGAAATTGGGGACATGTTTCCTGAAGTAAGAACACAATGCCACAAAGGATCTCACATCCTTCGCGTTCTGTGGGGTGGGATACTCCTTGATTGATCGAATCTTGGCAGGATTTGGAGCAACTCCACTTGGTCCGATATGTCGACCTAAGAACTTGAGACCCTCCGTTGAGAACAGATGCGTTTTTGAAGGTTTGAGTTTCAGGTTGTTCTCCCGTAACCGCTGAAGAACTCGTCGCCACGTTCCCAGATGATGCTCGAACGTTGGGCTGTACATGCACAGGTCGTCAATGAACAGAACCAGTCCTTCGTCGGCCAGGATATCGTCAAAGATTTCCATGCCAAGTCGTGCAAATGTGTATGGGCTCTCGGAGAGCCCCATGCTCAATACTCGAAATTCGAGCTTGTCCCATGGTAGGACAAAGGCGGTCTTGTGACGATCGCTTTCCTTGATGGGCACCTGATGGAAGGCGGCGGCCAAGTCAGACGAACTGAACCACTTCGGGTGGTTTTCACCTACCTTGGCCAGGAGTTCGTCTGGATTGGGAAGAGGAAACGTCCGCTTCTTGCTGATGGCGTTCAACTTTTGATAGTTGACACATAGTCGGAGGCTTTTGTCTGGTTTCTCCACCAGCACCACTGGTGAGCTGTATTCTGAATGACTTTTTTGAATCAATTTCTTGTCCAACATTTCCTGAATGATCTTCCTGACCTCAGGTTCTTGAGATTTCGGAATCCTGTAGGGTTGAGAAACGACTGGTTCGTCCGTCAGGGTCTTGATGTCATGCGTGATCCTGGTGCACAACCCCAAGGGATCGTGATCGAGGGCGAAGCAGTCTCGAAATTCCACCAGGAGGTTCTGGACTTGGGCTAGGTGGTTATCGTCCAGGTCTCCGTACTTGAATGCTGCTAGAAATTCTTTGTGATCCGATGGTTCCAAAGACGACCGTGTCTTCGTATCGCCTGAAGGGCTGGCTCTAGAGGGACACTCTTGTCTCTGTCTCACCTGTTGCATGGGAGGTCCTAGATGCGCTGTCACGACGGCGTGGTCCTGTGAAGCTGTGCCTGTCTCTTCACCAGGCGCTTCATCCGTGCTGGGGCTCAGCAGCTCAGAGAATGGTATGACTTGAGCCTGTGTGAGGAATCCCAGCGGCTCGTCATTCCGGAACTTGTAACTCCGGGAGGTGTAGTTGGCGATTCCGATCATGAGTCCTTCGCCGATTCGGTCGGCTTCAATGATGCAGCGCAGGGGCTTGACTGGCTCGTCCGCATTCTGGTTGTGCGGATGGAACTCCCAGGAGTCCTGAGGAGACGATTCGATGCGTTGAATCGTGTCGGGGTTAACCTGTGCTCGGATAAAAGTAACCGAGTGGGGGCTGACATGCTGATGTCTGCCTACCGCTGCCACAGGTATGATGGGCGAGCACGGTTGTTGTTGCTGTGAATCGAACAGACGGACGGGGTGCCCTCTGACATGGAGCAAGAAGTTGGAAAGATCATGATGAATCTGGTGTCTGGGCTCGGCCAAGAAGTCTAGCCCTAAGATGGCTTCATATGGGCTGAGGTTTCTGACTATATGAAACAAGTGGGTCACCGTTAGCCCAGGAGCGAGAGAGAAGGTTACTTCTCCACATCCGATCAGCTCTAGTGCTTGACCGGTGACGGATTTCAATGACAGATCTGAGGTCACGATGGGGTTGTCACTGAGGGTTTTGTACGCATCGAAGTCGAGAAGCGAGTGAGACGCTCCGCTGTCTATGAGCGCATATACCTCCTGGCTACGGGCGGATAAAACTGTTAACTGGTGGGTGGCTGAGGACTCCGGCCCTGCGAGTTTTTTGAGCAGCGGTTAGCCGTGTGTCCAGGTAGCTTGCAGCACGCACACACGATGTTCGTGCACTCTTCAGCTCTGTGGTTCTCGTTACAGAAGGGACATTGCGGCTGAGGGCAGTGGCGAATCAGGTGATTCGGACTATTGCATCGATAACATCTCGGTTTTGACTCGTACCTGGGCTGGTTTCCAGCTGCTTGTCCATGAAAATCGGTTCGGAAGGGCCCATTCTGCTGGTTCTCTTCCTGGTTCCGACGAGTCTGGTAGGCTGGTCGCCGTCCTCGGCCTCCTCGTGTTAGGTTTCGAGCGCCTCCTCGACCACGGCCGGACTGGAATCGGGGCTGGTGGTTGTCGCTCCGGTCGCTGCTGTCATAAGATGCCTGACCTGCGTTGTCACAATGGTCTCCTAAGTCATTGAACATGGCGTTGATGGTTGACTTCCGGAAATACCTGGCGTTCACCTCTTCCATGTGAGCGGCGACACGGACAGCTTCCTCGAAGTCGCTGATCTGACGTTCCACGACAGGGCGACTCAGCATGGGTGGTAGGCCTGATATAAATTGTTCCAAGGCGATGCGGTTCAGAATGTTTTTCTGGGTGTCTCGCTGTTCAGGGGAACCGACATCGCTGGCTAACTCGGGGTATGCCAGCCGAGTCAAACGTTCAATTTCGTATGCAAACTTCCTAACCGGAGTGTCTCGTCCCATTCGTGCAGAGTGTAGTCTGTTCACCTGGGTGGTTGGGTTGGTCACTCCCCCATATTGTTCTAGGAGCGCCTGCTTCACCCTGTTCCAGGTGTACTGTGACGGACTTAGTCTATCACGCAAGCCTTCTAGGAACGGGATGACGTTGGTGTCTACTCGTAGAAATAGTAACGGCAGCAGTTCCTCGTCCTGGATGTTGGTGATTTTTCTGAGGAGGTCCACTTTTTGAAGCCAATCACTGATCGCTTTGCCGTTATATTCCCCTTTGAATGAGAACAGGTGACGCAGAATAAAAGCGTCGGAATGACCGGTTCCCCGATCATCGGGATCTCTAAGTGCATGAAATTGGTGACCTCTAGTCTCATTCCCCGTCTCCCACTGTGATCGGGACTGACCTTGACCTGGAGCAGATGGCTCTAGCGGCGGAAGAGGAGGAGGTGGTCGTCCTCCGATGCCGCCCATTGCGTTCTTTCCAGCTGCACTCGCAACCGGATGTCCTGTACCCGCCGTCTCGTACTCGTAGTATTCTTCCTCCGGTGCTGGCGGTGCGGTTGCGGAGGGGTTTCCCGCTGCACCCGCCTTTGCGTGTCCTTCATCATCCGATTTGACCATGCTAGAAAGAAACATCATTAGCATTGGTACTTTGTCGCTGGTACAAGTGACCTATTGTCCCTGCCACTGTACGCCTGGCCCTTAAACCTAAGACGTGAGCTGACCGAGAATACCACCCATACCCGGCCGGTGTATGTTCGGTGGGCATAGTTCCCCCAGAGGACCACCCTCTGCTATGCGAGTATGTCCGGTAGAACGGTGGGGCAATACCCGAACTACCGGTTCCCCCCAGCTCCCACGCGTCCAGGCTGCGACGACCATCCTGTTCCTCGTGAACAGACGGTGTGGTTTCTGTGGGCTACCTATTCCTTGCCCTACTCTTCAACGTATACGGTCGGACAACGCACACACGGCAGGTTACATAGTGTATACTTGAGTAGATGGCTACACGTCAGTCAGTCAGTCCGTTTCCTGAGTTACGTTATTAGGTACTCTTTGTTCATCGTCGTGTCAGGTCGGGTTTGATTAGTCGCCCCTGTTAGCCCGCTTTAGAACACAAAGAAAAATATTTTAATTAGTTTTATTTTCCATTTCAGTTTTACTAACAGCGGCTAATAGGGTCGCCATCCACTCCGCCGCCTCCTGGTCCCAGTCCTCATCATCTGGTGACGGAGGTGGCGGAGTGACTCGGACGAATTTATATGACTCGGGGTCTGAGTCATAGCCGTCCCCGTCGGTCTTGTCGTAGTCGTTGCAGATTTCGGTCGAGTTGCGTCGGATCTCGTCGGACCTTTAAACAAAATATTGCGCATTAGTATCATGTCGGGGAGGAAGTGCCGGAATCATAACATGTAACAGCACTCCACAAAAACTAATTGTCTCCATCACCCACCAAAAATTGACTGATTGTAGAATAAATTAAACAAGCGTTAGGAATATTACACACGACAGTATACTGTTAGCACATGGGATGGTGATGTTGCAGGCACTTTAGAAAATCAGTCATTTTGTAAAATGCCTAGGCATTTTACAAAAAGACGGCTGTTTGAAAAATGACTGAACGCAACCAGGCTTTTTTCAAAATGGCTAGCCATTTTACAAAATGACTAGGCATTTTGCAAAATGTCTGACCAGCATGGAACGTAGATCCCACTACAGATACTAGGTATGGCCAACAGTTTTTGGACGTTTTCCTACATATACCCTATAGGTACGTGTTCAGCCTGTAGCTGATCGATTTGAAGCTCTGTGATGACGACAATGCTGAGTAGCGACCAGGTTGAGTTGCAGACTCGGCTGTAGCATAAAGCATTGTTTAGTTAACGCTGTAAAAACTCCCAAGTACATCAACGCCGTTCATGTTCTGCCTGAAACTAGACCTAACAAAACCAGCCGGAGACCGGCCCCAGTTAATAGGCAGACCCGGTTGATGTGCAATTACATGTAAACGAATGAGTGTAGTCTTTGTTTGATTGTGTCTTTGTTTAACAGCTTTGAGGGTCTCGCGAGATTAAGCGGTAGGTTTTGCACTTTTACATTTCCGGTTATATCTCAGAAACTAATCGATCTACGATGAAGCCATTTTACACGATCATGGCCGGTTTGTTACCCAACCAGTCGATCGCATATTCAACATTTAAAAGCTTAAGACGACGAAGATATAGCCTGAAGTACACTAAATTTTTTAGGTGCAAAACCTACCGCTAAAACCCGCGAGACCTGTACCTACCTACTTGCATGGTCCCAGTTAAAAATATCAAGCTCCACATCGGGAGAATCATCAGGTCGCTTGGCGTAGGACGAGAGCGTTGGTTTCAGAAGACACTAACGCCTATGTAAGTGTGTGGGATCCAATCCTCGCGACCTCTAATGGTTTTACACTCAGATACAGGCCGGCATAGGGCCAGTCGTTTGTTGACGCTCCAGATCGATCATTTTAAATCCAGCAGCGTCGCTGACGTGGGGGTTGGAAATGTCGCGGGCCTGCACTTCTCAAAATAGAGAGAGGTAGGTATGGACTTCCCACTGCTGGACTCCTCTGGTCATAATGCTGGACTCCTCGGCCCACCTACACGCTACCAAAACGTATATATTAGGTACTCGTATCTACAACACGCTGCTCAGTCATTTTGTAAAATGGCTAGGTATTTGTAAAATGCCTAGGCATTTTGCAAAATGACTGGAGAGTCAGTCATTTTGTAAATGCCTAGGCTTTTTGCAAAAAGCCTGGAAAATCAGGCATTTTGCAAAATGCCTAGGCATTTTACAAAATGACTGATTTTCTAAAGTGCCTGCAACAGTGACAACCCTGTTAAAATACAGGTATCGGTTGAAGATGATATATGTATGTCGGACAAACATACAAACATGCAAACATAAGCGGGGAATCATCAGCGTGTCGCGGGGTTGGGCGTACTTCGGATAGCAACATCACTTCACTGGCTCAAATAGTCACGTCACAACATCACAAGGTGGGTACACAGCACAAGGTTCTGTTCGATCAGAACGATTTTAAAATACCGCAAGAGCCCCAGTGTGATTTAAGTGGTCCCTGTGTGTACCCAGTTGTTGCCTCAAGTGTTTAGTTACGTCTAGGGGATTTGTAGATACCGACTCTGCTGCACACCGTGTTGTACGCATGCCCCGCTGGTCTCCGCCCGACCCCTCCGAAGCCCTGTCTCCCTTCGTCACATCATATCCCTCCATTCCCTTCATCACACCATCACACAAAGACACGTACAGTGGGATAAAATATATTCAAACAGGCCGAAAGGGTAAACGTCAATGATTGAACAATGCCTGGAGTCCGTAGAAGCCAAAAAGTAAACATTGCCAAAAAGGGCGGATTCAGGCTTGAGAATACACGGTATATGTTACCGTGGTAGTAAATAAAGGTGGCCGAAATAGAGTGCTAAAAACAGATAACCGAACAATATGCCGAAGCACAAGGTTACCGAAAACAGAATGACCGAAACAGTGTCAAGACAGTGCCGAACAAGTATTCGGAACGGAATGGGCCGAAACAGTGCCGAACAAGTTGCCAAAACAGTGCCAAAAGTAATCGAAAAGAATGCCGAAACAGTGCCAAACCAAAATGGCAGAATCACCAAAGTGTAGAGCGCTTATTGGTCGCTCGATTATGTACCGAGCTTTTCGGTGGTTTGGGGCGGGTAAAGCTGAGCCTTGGCATCGGGGGAGTGTTTGTTGGTGGCTCCATCCGTAGGCCGAGTCTTGCGCTCTGTAAAAGGAAGAAGTTAAACGGACACGATAACGCCGTGTAGTTCATCGGCCCGGTTCACCTCGTACGTACTATGGACCTGTGGAAAGTGCTAGGGGAAACTGTAAAACCTGTAAAGAATACTAGGGTAGCTCGGTGAATAGCCTGGGCCTGTTGTCGCCGGAATCAGTATCTGTAAATAGAGAACAGTTAGGGGATGAGGTATTACCTCACCTTTGGTCGGCACGGCCGACCAAGGTAATGCAATTCACGACTTACATTGTGGGGTTGCTGGTGGAGCGTACCGCCGAGTCGGAGCACTGCACAGTGTTTCGGACTGCAGAGAGAGTGTCCCCGGTTTGAAGGAGAGCTCTTTTATATCCCACCAACAGTCGTTAGTAGCTCTTGCACGCCCGTTTTTATAATGACATTCTATACATTATCGATTGTTCCAGTCCCCCGCTGTTTACGAGCCCACGCGTATCTCGGTCTACCTTCACCCGTCTATCCCTACGCTATTGTTCCACACCACACTACGTTATTTTGTGCTATTGTCTGCTTCTAATCTCCTTTACGCATATCCACCACCACACAAACAGGTTTCACATTGTCATTCGTCTTCCTTTGATCCTCTGCCAGGACGGGTTCCTCGCTCCGGCGTGGCGCACGGCTGAAGGTAACGAGTGGTCGGTGCATCTAATCTGCAAGGCTGATCAGTACACACAATTCCACACAGTTCCGCCGCTCAGCTAGGAGACCGAAGCGATATTTTCCACACTCCCGATCATCTGAGCCCCCTGATTGCCTTGGTCTTGGCGTTGGCGTACAGTTTAAAGTCGTCGGCACACTGCGGCCTCCTCTTTCTCAACAAGTCCCTCTATTTCTTCTGCAGCGAGGGCGATTTCGTCAAAAACTCCTCCATCGCGAAGCCTCGTGCGCAGACGCAGTCTTCGGGGCGCTCGCTGCGCCAACTCTCGACGAAACTGACGGGCTCCAAATGGAACAGATGGACTCCGAAACGAACCCGGGAATGCCAACACATGATCCCTCCAAATTTACAGAGGAGGAGATGTCCCTGACAGCCCCTTTGCAATAGGGGTCACTTTTACATATAGACGTATGGGGAATTCGACCTTATCGACATGGTACTACGAGGTCAGTGATCTGCTTGGCATTTAAATCGTAGTAAAACTGGCATTTAAACGCTGCGAAACAACTTACGTACAACGTAGCTCCGATTTGCCCCTTGTGAGAAATTGCAATTCCACAATATCTCATATATGCAATCATTCATTATCCCAACGCCATTGCCGACCTCCCCTCCCTTCCTATCGCCACTTGTGGGGGGCCGGGCGGGTAGGGGAGGAGCGGCCGGCCCAGTGGAGCGGCGGCCACGTCAGACGCAGGGCTGCCAGCTGATGGCCGGCTCAGAGGACTGCCGCCCGGGCGACCGGGTCAGCGGTCGCTGACCTCGCCCGAGCCAGACGTTCAGTCTGCTCTGGTCTCGAATGGGTCGCGCGCGTGCAGTGATAAACGGCAGTGCAGTGCGCTCAAATACTTCAAACTTGAACTACGACTACCTCAATGCCACTACTCGTGGTGTCCTGTCATACGCAAGAGAGGATACTGCAGTGACACAAATAATCACAGAGGCCAAACCGACAGACAACTACCCAGGTAAGCCCGGCCTCGCAGTGGCATCAATTTTTCCTTTCCATCATTTCCGTGTTCGAGTTATTCATTAATTCCTACATAGAAAAGCTGTGATTATTTCTGTCAGGTCCCTCGCTCCTCGGGACTTGCCCTATACTGCTCACAGTTTTCCTTCACAAAACATCGCTATATTTCTCACACTGACTCTCGTGCGATTTGCAATTGATCTTCAAGACAGCAATTGTGCGAGACAGCTCAACTATTCAATCTAAGCGAATCGCTCGATTAATCGCCTGCTGTGGATTAATGATAAGACGCGCGTCTCTGAGCACATTATCGCTCATATAATAACACAGATACGGCTGTGACCCGTCTGCTGATCGCCTCATCGAGACGTCAGCAACCTCACCTGCTTCGGCGCTCAAGCGGGTCATCAACCTCGCCTGCTTCGGCGCTCAAGCGGGTCATCAACTTCGCCTGCTGCTTCGGCGTTCTAGCGGGTCATCAACCTCGCCTGCCTCGCGCCTCAGCGGGTCATCAGACTCGCCTGCTTCGGCGCTTCAGCGGGTCATCAGCCTCGCCTGCTTCGGCGCTTCAGCGGGTCTTCAGCCTCACCTGCTTCGGCGCTTCAGCGGGTCACCAATCTCGCCTGCTCGGCGCCTTCAGCGGGTCATCAGCCTCGCCGTGCTTCGGCGCTAAGCGGGCCATCAACTTCGCCTGCTTCGGCGCTTAGCGGGTCATCAACCTCGCGCCTCGGCGCCTTCAGCGGGCTTCATCAACCTCGCCTGCTTCGGCGCTTCAGCGGGTCATCAGCCTCGCCTGCTTCGGCGCTTCAGCGGGTCACCAACCTCGCCTGCTTCGGCGCTTCAGCGGGTCATCAGCCTCGCCTGCTTCGGTGCTTCAGTGGGTCAATACCTCGCCTGCTTCAGCGCTTCCACGAGCCATCTGCTTCGATTCATCTTCAGCGAGGTTATAGGCACTTGTCTGTCGTAAGAAGCTTCCACCAAGATGGAGAAATTGAAGACAGCACGTTCAAACAGCAAACGATCTTTCACGAGAATCAACAGAAACCTATTGAAGGTCATAGCTGAAGGAGCAGAACCTAGCCTGGTCGGAGACTGCTGGGTCGAGCTTCAAACTGCGTGGTCCGACATTGAAGCCAAGCATAACGACTACGTCTCGTCAATGACGAGTGAGGCCGAAATGGAATATGAAGTGCCTGGATGGATGAAGTCTACGAAGTTACTCAACCACCAAGAAGGCGTACTTTGCTTTTACTCTGGTTCGGCGAAGAACGTCAAAGAAGAAGCTGCAGTCAACAAAACCTACATCACACAGCCAGACATTCAGAAGTTGAAAATGCCACTATTTTCTGGATCACAAGATGATGTGATGTCATTCAATGATTTCCTGCACATGTACGATGACCTCGTGGGAAACAACGCAGCGTACAGCAACTCCGCCAAGCTGATGTATCTGAAGAGCTACCTTCGTGGAAACGCCTTAGATACAATCAAACATCTGTCAAACGATGAACAGAACTACGCACTTGCCAGGAAGTTCTTGACCGAAGAATACCTGGACACAGACATCATTGTAGAGGAACACATCAGGAAACTTCACAACCTCAAGTCGCCATCAGCAAAAGACTTCCCGGATACGAGCATTCTTCAACACGGCCCGCGCTTCAGTGTACGAGCTGAAAGCGTTCGGCTACAACGCTCTTGAGGATGACACTCTGGGCAGCAAGATCGTCAGCTTCATGATCTGCGAGAAGCTCCCCAACTTCAAGCTGAAGTTGAGCAGCATTCTGCAGACTGACTTCCCCTCAACAAAGCAACTAATGGACAACTACAACACGTTATCAAGTCACTGATGAAGACGTCTGCACCAGCAAAACATCAAGAAACAAAGGAGACTCCGGGAGCCAGACCAAAGACAGAGAAATCTCGTCTCTCTCGTGGTCATGAACAACCAGGAGCTACGTCTGTGAAGTCAACTTTACAGAGATTTCAAACTGGAACAGAAACTGTGAAAAAGTCCGCAGGTGCAAACACTACATCCGGACCACAGCAACAACCAACAGCAAACAAGTTTAAACCATGCAAGCTATGCGAAGGAGCTCATTCCATGTTGAAGTGTGCCAAGTACACGACACCACAATCGAGAGTTCGACGGCTGAAAGAGCTGAAGCTCTGCACTAAGTGCAGTGGTGCTCACCAGCTCTCGGACTGCAAAAGTCAGGCTGCTGGACTGCGATACCCGTGCACCATGTGTGGCAGCAAGCAACACATTTCGGCAGTGTGTGTGAACACCGATGAACAGCACACTATGCTTCAGAGCGGCTTGACACTCATGTGCAACAACATAAACAAGGGGCAGACTGTCATACTACCATCGATGTCGGTCATCATGCACGTCAACGACCAGAAGACATGCGAACTCGTCAGATGCATGATTGACTACGGCTCTCAGGCTTCCTACATCAGCGAAGATCTGGCAAGGAAGCTGGGCTTCGACTTAAGCACTCCAAAGACGTGCTTCAACGTGAAGACGTGCATTGGCGTCAAGGAACTGAGTTACAGCTCGGTCACCTGTGATGTCATCTTCACGCCTGATTCCACCGCCAGACACACCTTCTTGGTGGATCCAGCTATGAATCTGGAGTACGAAGTTCCCGGAATCAAGTCTCTGGTTGAGCATCTCCAGGCCAATGGGGCTCGTCTCGCGGACTCGTTCTTCAACGACATCACTTCAGACACCGTTGGCGACTTCGATTGTCTGCTCGGATCGGACATCATTGGAGCGCTCAAGCCACTGAAGACTGTAGACCTCGCGCTCGGAACGGCCTTGGAGGTGCGAGATGGCTACATTCTCTTCGGGAGAGTCGACAGCTACTTTGAAGATGAGCTTCAAGAGACTGCGGCAGGAGACAAAGACAAAAGTGATCGACAGGATCATGAACCCAACAGGGGCGCACCGGGGTCATCCAGGAAACCGGACAGAGATGACAAGTTTGGTGGAAGCGGTGTGAACTCGCCACCATCACATACAAGCGGAAGCGAGCAGACATCTAGCACCAGCCACGGACAGCAAGACGTTCAGACCGCGCTGCAATCGGTCGCGACGGACAGAAACGAGTCTTCAAAAGAAGTTCAACAGATGCAAGATGGGAAGCATCTGGCAGCAGACTACTCACATCTACAAACTAAACAAACACAAACACACTGCAGTCTGGCTCATGAGAAACAGGCGGAGGATGACGACGCTGTCAGTCAGACCAGTGAACAACAAACTCAAACTCCAGCACAAACACAAACACAAACACAAACCCAACAAACACAAACAAACGAACACTACGATTGTGTTTGCACACATCGACAGACACACAACAAAATGATCAAACACTGGCCTCGACCGTAGAATCGCAAACAGATGAAACGTCGAAACAGTCATCTGCATCCTGCAACCAGTCGTCGCTCATTGACGGCGCTGCTGATGTAGCTGACCAGTCGCCTCGCATTGAATGATGGTGAATGCAACGCTGCATCCGAAGACTTCATACTTCCACCCACTGGCTCACATGTCCACTGATAGTGACGTGGATCTCCAGATCGAACACTTGTTCAGCGTTGAGAGCTTGGGCATCAAAGAAAGTGATGAAAGTATATCAGCTCAAGAAAAGCGGCTGGTGGACAGCTTTACTGAAGAAGTAGAGTTCAAGGATGGGAAATACTTTGTCAAAGTGCCGTTCTACGACATTGTTTCACAAGTGCCAACCAACTACGATGTA